GCTTTGGGTTTTAGGGGAAGACAATGAAGCCCCTCTTTCTAAGTTGTTAAACTACCCCAGGCTTTAAGGAATATTTTCCAGTATCTCCACAGAATTGCTGAGTAATGGGGCCTTTCCAAGGGTGGTCTCCATCCCCCAAGAGGATATTTTCCCTGAACCATGATCAGTTTCCTTCTACAGTACCCACTGATCTTCCAGTCTCCTTTTAGGCTCCTCCTCCCCTCTCCTCCTCTTCTACTTCTTTTTCTTCCTTCCTTTCTCTCTCTCTCTCTCTCTCTCTCTCTCTCTCTCTCTCTCCAATTTTGCTTCTTTTGAGACAGGGTTTCTGTGTGTAGCCCAGGCTCCTCTAAAACTTAGAGATCTGACTGCCTCTGATTCCCAAGTGCTGGGTTTAAGGTGTGTCCTATCACACATGGCCTCTGATTCCCAAGTGCTGGGTTTAAGGTGTGCTCCATTACACATAGTCTGAGTTTCATTTTCTAACATGAAAATCGCACAAATCGGAATCCATGGGATAGTAAAGTTAAAAAAAAAATAAGAGAACACAAAGTTGGTGGGTACGGAGGAGGGCTAGATCTAGGAGGAGTTAAGGGGAGGAGTTGAGGGTGCATATGATCAAAATACACTGAGTGAAATTTCTCAAACAATTAATACATTTTTAATAAAAAAAACCCTTCAATACATCACCAGCCAGTGCGATGACACAACAAGTGAAGGCGCTCACCATCAAGTCTGCATTTGCGCTCCTGACCCACACGGCAGAAGGTGAGTACCAAGCCCCACAAGTTGTTCTTCGAGCTCCATATGTGGGCAGTGGCACACACATGCATGAGCACAGTTTAAAGTTCTAAAGATTAAATACCTCGGAGCTGAGGGAATAGCAAATAAGAACACCGTGCAAGCCACGGCACCTGCTGCAAAAGCCAGGCATGACGGTCAGTGCCTGTAACACCAGCCTTATGAAGGTGGAGACAGGAGGATGGACAGGGTTTGAAGGCCAGTAGCGTAACTTCAATAAGAAGCCCTGTCTCGAGGGAACATGGTGAATGAGAGAACAGAACACCCACCATCTTTCTCTGACCCCCATGAAGGACTAGGTATACCACACACAAATACATCATTCAATGTATTTAATTAATTAAAAGGGAGAGGGTACAGCAGGCAAAGTGCTTCCTAGGCAAGCACGAGCCCTGGAGATCATATGCACAGAATGTCAGAGCTGTGTGGGTGTGGCAGCCCACTTTTAATCTCAACGAGTGGGGATCCCTGGAGCCAGCTTTCTAGCCAGACTAGCCCAACCGCAAGGTCCAGGTTCATTCAGAGGTTCTGCCTCAATAGAAAGTGGAGACCCACCACAGATGACACTCTACTTTAACCTCAGACACCACATAGACATGCAAGTACACACACACACACACACACACACACACACACACACCATGAGCACATGCACGCAACCATAAAACCCTGCATTCAAACGCATGCAAATGCATATACACACGAGTACATACCACACCTACATACCTATGTAAAAGCAGGAAATAAAACATACATTATGTGCAACAATTTTCTCCAAAATAAAACCATCCATCTTGGAAGTAAGCTCCTTACCCATATTAATGTAAGTCACCCTAAGAAAACTTTTTGGTTCACCAAGTTGGACTTCGGTGATATCTACACTCTGTTCCGTTGTGGGCTCCATATCTGGGGTAACTGGTTGCTTGTTCATAGCTCCCCAGGAATGGTGTCCCACAGCAATACGCAACCTCAACAGTAAGAATCCTCTCCTGTCCCTTTCACAAGCTCTAAGCTGCCTGATGTCAATCGCAAAGTTCTAAAAGAAGGCCCCATAGCAACACAGTGACAACACTGCTTTGTATTTCACAAAACCCTCAGGGAAGGGAATCTGCACACTCACACTTAGCAGATATTATATTTGAAAACACATAGTATATAGACAGGGGACACTGTCAACCCCACTCACGGAAGGTCATGATCATGAAGGAACAGAAATATCGGATTTCGTTCTATAAAGGTCCATGTTCTATCTAGGTCAGAACAAACCAAGTCTACCAGTCTGTGTCTATCACTTATTTAGTTTAAGTTGTTTTCTTTTAATAGTCCCAAGTGAGAACACTGTCTGCCGCCAGACAGAATCCAAGAGTAACATTTTCCCCTCTCTCTCATCAAAGGAAAACATGTTTGTGTATCCTCAGTACTTCTGAAGAAATGTGGAAGAATTTCCACACTAATAACCAACTCCTTAAATCCCCAGGCTCGAACTGGTATCTTTAAACTAATTTCCATCGAATTATCACACTGTCTCCCTGGAGTAAGCGTGGACCCTGCAGGTTAATCCAGTCCTACAAGGCTGTGCGTGCTTTAGAGTCCAGTCTTGATCAGGCCAAGATACCGTGTATTTCCAACTGATTGGCTGCAGAGCAGGAGTTACTGTGCCCTCCCTTCATAACTGAACGTTTATGACTGTGGCTCGTAAACTCGGGGAAACACTGATCCTTATTGGTTTGTGGGAAGGTATGTCAAAAGGAGCCACATGACTGGCGGATGAGTAGACACGCAGGGTAAGGTCCAACAGGGCTCCAAGAGCAGAAACATTGTCTCTGTATTCCCCTCCTGTGAGCCAGGGCCACACCATTTTGCAAAGCTCCTTCCTTTTGAATGGTGACAGTTCTCTTAACTACGGCAGCCTGGGTTCCAGAACCAAAGTGATTGTTTCTCTAGGCTCTTGCTGTCCCTGTCTCATGAACCTCAGTCATGGTCACCATGAGAGATGGCTACCTACGACCTGACATTGACTCCCTGGTTATACCAGCCATGACACCTTTTGGCCAAAAAAGAGCTTTGCACCTCCTTCCATACGCTCCACTTCTGTCCTGTAGTGTGTCCTAGGTGTGTAGAGAAATGACAGGCTGATTCTCACAGCAGTTCCTCAGGATGTTTTCTCCAAGATAAAGGCATTGGCAAGTCACCTACCACTCAGGGGCTTTGTGGAGACTTCTTTACACAGATAACTGTGATAGTCTGGACACTCATTGTTTTCTAAGTCTGTGTAGTGGAGGCTTGGTTACTTGCTTGTGGTTTTATTAGAACCTTTAGAGGGCGGAGCCTTGTGATGGCAGGGAGTTGACTGGGGAGTAACCACGAAAGGAATATCAAGACTCTGACTCTCTCCACGGCTTTTTCCTTCTATCCCTCACCCCCATTCCCCCAGTCATATGTCAGGGGCAGTTTTGCTCTGCCTCACACTTTTCTCTGGCCACTGTGCTCCTGCTCAAGCTGCAGAACAACAGAACCAAACAGCAATGGACTGGAATGTCCGAACCAAGAGCCAAGACAGATCTTCCCTCCATATCATTGTTTCAAGAACTATGTCAGAGCATGGAAGTCTGGAAGTCTGAGTAGCCGAGAGGGTGACTGATGAAGTTATTGGCCACTGGCGACTGAACTTGGTCTCCAGTCTGTCTGTCTGCCCTTAAGATCAGGAGTCAGGTTGAACAAGTCCGAAACAAGGTGAAAAAGGACACTTTAAATGTGATTAATACATTCACTAGATTAATGGATCAACAGCCTAAGTCTACCCATATAGCTGCAGAAAACAGATTTGTGAACTACAACATCCATTCATGATTAAAAACAAATACTTAGCAGCTGGACTGTGACCCAGTTGGCAGAGTGCTGGCCTAGCATGCCCAAAGGTCTGAACTTAATCCCCAGCACCTCAGAAAGTCAGTCATGGAAGAGCACACCCACATTCCCTGTATGTGAGGGAAGACGCAGCAACATTAGGGGTTCAAGATCAACTTCAGCTACATCAGAGGCCAGCCTTGGCTACATGAACTTCGGTCTCAAAACAAAAGAACACCAAAGCAAACAATACTTAAAACCTAAACTCACACATATTTAATAAAGCAGGAAGTGCAGAGAACTTCCCTCAAGAGCAAAGTTAATTTTTAATAATAACAGGTTTCAAACAATATCTTCAAGATCAGGATCAAACCACACAAACCCATTGTCATTTCTAGTAACATTCTCTAAAGTTCCTGGTCAGGGAGGAATGAAAGTGAGGAAAGGGAAAAACACAAGCTTTGTGATGTTATACATGCAGAATTCGGAAGGATGCACAGGAAAATTATGAAAATTAGGATAAGTTGATGAATACAAAATCAGTGCACAAGCACCAGTTATCATTTTATGTAAAAGTAAACTTAACTTAAAAGATGTAATTTTTACAGTCACACATGGTGGCATACAACTCTAATCCCAGCACACGGGAGGCAGAGGCCCGTGTATCTCTGTGAGCTTTTGGTGAGTATGGTCTATGCATTGAGTTCTGGTTCAGCGAGGGCTACACATTGAGAACCCTACTCTCTCTCTCTCTGTCTGTGTGTGTGTGCACGCGCGCACTGTGAGATTCCCCTCTGTATGCTGTGAATATGTTTGATTACCATTGGTTAATAAAAAATTCTTTGGGCGTATAGCAGGGCACAGTATAGCGAGGTGGTAAATCCGATACATAGAGAGAGTAGGCGGAGTCAGAGAGACACCTTGTAGCTGCCAAAGGAAACAGACACAAGATGGAACCTTACTGGTAAACCACAAGCCTTATGGTAAAATATAAAATAATAGAAATGGGTTAATTCAAGATATAAGAGTTAGTTATAAGAAACCTGAGCTAGTAGGCCAAGCAGTGTTTCTGTGTGATTATTTTGGGTCTGGGCGGCCGGGGATGAACAAGCAGCCTCCATCTACATGTGTGTGTGTGTGTGTGTGTGTGTGTGTGTGTATAATTCTGAAAACAATATCAAGGTGTGGGTGCACTTGCTTATAACCTCAGACTTGAAAGACTGAAGCAGGAGGATTGCCATGACTTTCAGGCCAATCTGGGTTATGTATTGAGTTCCAGATCAGCTAGGAATATTTAGCAAAACTATATCTCAAAATAAACAACAACCACGATAAAAACTAACAACAATGACAGAAAACTTACGTTGCAGAGGAAACACCATGACCACAAAGGCAGATTTCCCAGAGTGAAGCTTATCCATCAAATTCCAGTTGTGTTCACCCTGGCAGTTTCTCTGAACGTGGGAAACCGAACCACAAAATTTGTGAATGAAGGGGAGTAAGATTTCTTTTTTAAGAAAAAGAAGCCAAGCCAGGTGGTAGCGGCACACACCTTTCATCCCGGCATTCTCAGGAAGTAGAGGCAAATGAAGCTCTGTGAGTTTGAGGCCAGTCTGGTGTACAAAGTGAGTTCTAAGACAGCTACACAGAGAAACTCTGTCTTGAAAAATAAAAAACAAAACAAAACAAAAAGTCACTTATAGTAGCAGCAGACGTGTAGGCTAACAAGGAAGAGATACTTCACGATGAGCAAGCTGTACAGAAAGCGCCATGGATTGGAAAAAGATCAAACTCAGGGATGGAAAGCAATACATTAATGGTTTCTAAGTTGGTCAGTTTGTTTGACTCAAGGGTCCTCCTTTGCTCTTCCCTACTTAGGGACTGACAGACTCTTTTCCAGATGTGTTGGAGATCGAAGAAGGAAGATTCCAGCTGGAGTAGTGACCTACACCCATAACCCCTGCCCTGAGAGGTGGAGGCACCAGGACCAGGGTTTCAAGATCATTACCATCTACTTAGAGAGTTCAAAGCCAGCCTGGGCTACCCGAGACCCTGTTTAAAAACCCAACCCAAACCAACAGAAAAAAAAAAACAAACAAAAACAATGTGTAGCCTAAAAATTCCAGAGGAAGAATATTTGTTGGCTAATGTGGAAGTCATGTGACTGAACGAGGGGGATTTCAGTGGAACTGTGAAGCCAGGAGTATGATCTCACGGATCTGAGAGAGAAGAGGCCCTTCATCAGTCTCTGTTCTAGTTGACGGAGCTGCTTTCTGGGTGGAAGATGTTCGCTCTTGTTTATCATTGCCCAAGATATGAGATTCAGCCCTTTGTATTCTGACAGGAAATGACTGAACAGGGAGAAAAATCCTGATGAAAAGTTTGGTACCAAAGTATTTGAGATAAAACCAGATAAGAAACAGAGCTTGGGCTATTGACAAGAAGCGACTGAAAATTCATTCTGAAGCCTTTGAAGTCATTCTACAGAATACATGTTGGTAGTCAGAATGACTATGCAGAACCAGGCATTTCTACTAAGTACACTGTATAATCAAGGACTGGGCAGCTTTATTCACCTTACTGAGACAACACCTAGATGACCACATAGAGTATATGTATTTGTTTACAACTCTTACAAACAAGGAAGTGAGGCTTCCTGAGTTTAATTAACTCCACAAGAGCTCGCTCTGATTCACACGAACCTCGTGGATGTCAAAGGGCACAGACTTCCACGGAGCAGCTTTCCTGCAGAAGATTCTTCACACTACGCTCCTCCCGAGACGTGACGGCTGACAGCCTGTGGGAGAGCCTGCCTCACTTCAGAAGCTCGCTGCTTCATCTCCCATTGGAATCATCACGTTCTCTCCCTATTTAAAATCATTGGCACCGCTGACTAAAGTGCTTTTTTCACACACCAACCGCTGCCTGAAAACAGAAGATCCTTTGGGAATAAACCTGGTCTATTCAGGACGAATCCTAGCAAGCTATGTGTCAGGTTATTTCTATCTTCTGTTCATGCTTATTTGAAGGTCACAGATAACTGCACGTGTGTTCATGCTGCGATCTGCTCAGGAACATATGGTATGCGTGGCCCTGTCTTAAATCTTTTTTATTTATCCCAAGACCTTGGAACACAGAAATGGTGCCCAAATAGAGGAACATCTGTTCATGGACAGTGTTATAGGAAGCTCAGAGTCTTACCGTGCTTCCTCCTATCTGGGTCATGAAGTCCTCCTGGGAGTAAGGACGTCCTTGTCCTGAGATGCTGACAGGAAAGGCCTTCCTTCCATTTTTAATACCAGCTGGGGCTAATCAATGGCCAAATATGAACAGGTTGTTTCTCTTTGTGCATCTGTGCCATGAACGAGTCCTGACGACCTGAGGGTACAAAGGTACTTTTTCTGAATTCACCTCCCTCTAGTGGGACATGTTATAGTAATTTTGAAAATATTTTATTGGAATTCATCTGGAAATTTGAAACTGGAAATATGAAAAAATAATCTCTCCGACATTACTTCATTGATTATTCTTTAAGCATTTCTTTTGAAGATGGGTTTACTTTATCCTGTATGTGTGCATACTCTGATGGCATGTATGTTTGCATGCTGTGCATGTGCTTGCATGCTGTGCACATGCCTAGGTACCCACACGACGCCAGGTGACACCAAGCTTGTGATGAGTCTGAACCTAGGCTCTCTACAGGAGCAACAAGGGTTCAGAACCACAGAGCCAATCCTCCAACCCCCTAATCATTCTTTCTTTCTTTATTTTTGCTTTGTGAGACAGGGTTTCTCTGTGTAGCCCTGGCTATGCTGGAACTTGCTCTGTAGACCAGGCTGGCCTCGAACTCACAGAGACCCACTTACCTTTGCCTCCTGAGTGCTGGGATCAAAGATGTGCACCACCACTGCCCAGCTTTTAATTCTTCTTTTTCTTTGGATTTTGTTTTTATTGGGCCTCATGTAGACTACACTAACCTGAACTTATGGAGTTGATATTTTGCATTTCTGTTTAGGAAGATTGTATTAGAAAGATACTAACATGATTGTACAACGTAGTTTTTGCTTCATGGTTTGTTTGACAATGTTATTCTAAAAACGACATGTGTTTACAAAGATATCATCTAGTTGGATCAGTTTTCTCAAGGGCCTTTTCTGATTCATTAATTGTCAAGTTGCTCTCCCTGCCCGCCACCCACAACAGGGTCTCACTGTGCATCTCTAGCTGTTCCAGAACTCACTTGCTAGACCAGGCTGGCTCTACCTCACAGATCTCCACGCGCCTCAGTGCGCCACCGCCACGCCCAGCTCTAACTGTCTTCTGAAGCACCTCTCACAACCCCCTTGTAGAATTCCTTTTCTGCTTCCCTTTCCTCTAACACACAGGGAAGGCTCAGTTTCTAGGCGAGTGTTCCAGCTGCACTCGGCTCAATGCTCCTCCGTTTTAAACAGGCCAACTAACACCCACAGGTCCTGACTTGTCTGTGGCTCCGCCTCTGACAGAAGAGATCTTGTCAGAGGTACAGTCCCCACACAAATCACGGAGCTGCAGTCTGTTTATTTGTTCTGGATGCTCATGACCACTGACAATCAGGTAATGAACTGTCAGGGCACAAGCAAACTGTAAGCGCAGAGAACACACAGAGAGCAGTTGTAACCATTGTCTGGGTGCATGCATGTGTGCATGTTTGTGTTTTGTTTAAAAGAGTATCCTCTGGAATTCACCTGAAAAAATACAACTGAAAATGTGGACAACTTAAACATTCTTTAAACATATTGTGCTTAATTAACAAGTTAAAATTTTTAGAAATAATGGGCGTGGTGGTGCACATCTTTGGTCTCTGTGAGTTTGAGGCCAATCTGGTCTACAGAGTGAGTTCTAGAACAGCCAGAGCTGTTACACAGAGAAACCCTGTCTCAATAAACAAACAAACAAACAAACAAACAAGAAGAGAAATGATCCTCCTACCTCTGCCTCCTTATTGCTGGGATTATAGGCTTCCTTCAACAGGCCTACCTAGGATCCCTACCTACAACAGTCTAGCTGGCAAGCACGACTGTGGCCCAGCCAGAACGGTGTGACACACAGATATCTCCACTTATCACCCACTCTGTGGTCACTTCATTTCCAACCACTTCTGCCCACGGTTACTTGACTTCCCTTTTAACTTGTTGCTCAGCGATGAGACTCAGGCAGGACGCCGGGGTCAGATTTCAGTCTCACGGTACATCTGCAGAACCACAGTGTCAGGAGAGGACTGTGGAGATCCATTCTGTTGATTGGCAGCCTCAGTGACTGAGCATCGGGCACAGGGCTTGGGGAGGAAGCTGAGAAGGCAGAGGATGTTAGTCACACCTCCAGCTCTGAATTGTGTAGCTGTATTAGTTTTCCAGTGTGTGGGTGAATGGCCACACACTTAGTGGCTTGCAATAATACCTATTTCTTGTCACAGTCGCTGTGGGTCACGACTCCGTGTCTCACAAACACTTACGTACGGGCACGGACACAGAGAACACTGGCTTCTCATCTACTGTGAGCAAACGCTGTCCTAGTCTCTCAGAGGCCACCCCCGGTTCCTGCTCACGATCCCCTCCCACGGTCAGCTGACAGCACGGTGCTCCTGGTCTGCTGTTGTCGAACCTGACGTCAGGGAACACAGCCCCAGCAGTGATGTCCTGCTGCCATTTTAAGTTCCACTGTGTATCAGTCAGGGCTCTCTAAAGGAACAGTGCAGGTAGAACTAATGCAGAGATTAAAAGGGAGTTTAGTAAGCTTGCTCACAGACAGTGGGTCATTGAATGACGACTATCATATGTGGAAAAGAAGAAAATAACGCAGCATTCAGCTCAGGAGGGTGGGTGTCTGGCAGTGGAGTCTGCCGGTCTTCAGTTCGTGTTGGAACCCTAAGGAAGTGGGATTTAACACTGTCAGTGACAGGACACATGGCCTTTGGAAGGAGAATGAGGGAGAGCAGCAAGGGCCCAGGGTTAGGGTGGGCCTTTCTACTTCAAATAATCTGACTAAGAAACCTCTGGCAGGAGTGTCCAACAGCTTGGGTTACCTTTGGCTCCAGATGTGGCCGAGTTGACGACCAAAAAAATCAGGCGCCTCGTAGTGATGGGAGTTAAGCCCCGGGTTTTGTCTATCCAGGGTGAGAGGAACTGCATAGGTCTGTCATGGGGATTTCCCTACCACAACTGATAAAGACATGGACGCTTACATCATTTTCTTGTGGAGATCCCAAGGTGTGGGAGGAAGTAAAAGGAAGACACATTTCTTGCTTGTAAGGGCTGAAGGAAATATTCCCTCTTCCTTTTACAGCATCTCACCTCAAACAAAAATGATGAAAGATTTTGTATGCATACGTGTTGGGAGCCTGAGGGTGGTGAACAGTCTTCTCTCTAATATTTGGGTTCCGTGGACAGAACCCAGACTGTCATGTTTGGTGACAAGTGCATTTTACCCACTGAGCCATCTTGCCAGCCCTGCCTTTACTTTTTAATCACCATGCC